GATGGTAATGATGCCATTATGTTGGGCAAGCCCAATACAGAAGATTGTTTATGTAGATGCAAGTGTTAGGACAGAATGGAAGTCATTTCCCTAGGAAAGCAATCAACAGCCTTAAATGCATCTTTTACAGAGACCAAAATGCTATTAGACTTCTAAAGTTTTACTTTCCTCTTTTCTTAAGAGGATAATTATATTATTTGCTTATTTTCTCTGGTACATTTAAATTTTTTGTGTGTCACTAAATAATGTCTGTCATTTTTTACTCCTGGCTGCTCCCTTGGGTGACCCCTCTCTGATGTGGGGTTGTCACTGGTCCCATTATGGGCACCTGGCTCTGCCTGCCTGTGCTTGGCTGTGTCCTCTCTGGGAGGAGTGCTTGTGCTGGGGTCACCTTGGCTCCCAGCCCATGTCCTCCTTGCAGAGCAGCCCTGCTCCCTCTGTTCCCCAGGTGCCCAGGTTCAGGATGTGGATGGCCACATACCAGTTTTTCTAAAGGGATTCGACCTGTGACATCATCAGGACATGAATCAGCTCTGTGATATTGCTGGGGTGTCATCTCTGCCCAGCCTGTCATTTCCCCTGTTAAATTTGCACTCTTGGTTGTTCCTGCCCAAGACCATCCCTGATACTGGCTGTATTCAGCTGCATTTTTTTAAGACAGTCTTTAATTCTATCTCAGTTCCATCCATTTGCATTCCTCCCCAACCTTTTATCACCTGCATGCTTACCAACTTTAGAGGTTATTCCCTCAGCTGAACTGTTAATGAATAATTAAACACTAATTTTTTACTAAACTATTAATTAAAACACTTCTGTGTACCCAGGAGAGTCTCCTGAACAATCACAAGTGGTGTAAGGTTTATAATTTGACAATAGTTATTATAATGAGCTATTTTTGATTAAAGCTTTCCAGACAATAGAACATACTCCTAGTATTTTCACTGAACACACATTTATTGCTTTGTGTCTGTGGCACTGTAAAAAGCTTGTGCTGTATTTACCAGGATTTATTATAACACAAATTAGAGGAAGATACTCTGATAACTGGCTGGGCTGCATCACTAAGTAATACTGATGAGGTCCAAGTTAGTCTACATCCTTTAGTGGTTGAGTTGCCAATAAACCATGGCCTAAAATCTCTCTCAAGGATGGTATTTTGATCACAGACCTATTTGTTTCAGTTGTCTCTGCTGGTTTCAGAGCACCCCCTTCTCATCAGTGACTCAGTGAGCCACAGTCATTGCAGTGAGGTGACAAACTTGTACTCCGTGGGCTCCACCACTGCCTACTGCAGTGGTTTCTCCAAGCCAGGCTGATCTTTTATAATCTAGCACAAAGCCAAGGATAAGAAAATGAGTATTGATAGCTACTTCACCCCACCCTCATATTAAATTTAGAGATAATCTTAGGCTTAATACAAATAAACTGGATGGATTTAATGCTATCAAATCAACAGTGCTATGTAAAAAAAAAGAATGTGTTTCTTTCCTCCTAGAGGAAGGATCCCTCTTATACAGTGCAAGATTCAATTATAGCCATCTAGAGACTAGCTAATGTGGTTATAATACAAATAAATCATCTGTACTTAAAACTGGAAAATGCTTGTTTTGATGTACTACAGCCACCCTCCAGTAAGTGTCATGCACAGTGGCTTCTGGATTCCGGCAGAAACAACAGCCCAAAGGATAATTGCTGCCCATGCAGGAAGTTTTCCAGGCAGGTCAGTGCTTCCACGTGAGTGGAATCCAGCAAGTCAAAACCCAGGAAGCTCAAACAGTGGAAGACGAGGGTGGATGGTCTGCCTGAAACCTAATTGCTGTGAGGCAAGAAAAACAGCAGGACTGGGAGAACAGAAGATGCAAGGTGATGCTGAAGTCATGTTCTGCTGCTGGCCATGAGAGTGATTCACTGAACAGCGTGTCCCCTATCAGAGGGAGGGAACAATAAGCACGAACATTTGGCATTCCAGTCCATGAAGACCCAAGCCAACTGTCCTGCTCTGCTCACTCAGCTGCTGCAGGAACCAACTACAGACAGTTTTAGGAAGAAATATAACTTGACTAAAATGAACTTTTATTTCCACTGCTGTGAAAAAGGGGGAAAAGGATGCTGAAACTTGTAGTTTTGCCTGTAATTGTTATTGCAGACATGAGTATACTACAGGTACAATAATTTAATATTCTCAAATTCTATTTTGAAGGTCAAAGTGTTCTAACATTGTCATATTTTTGACTATGATATATGGCAGCAGAGTTTGGAAGTTCTCCTCAAGTTAGGAGAAGCTGCCAAATGAAACCACACTTCAGTAGGTACAAAATACCCTTTGGCAGAATTCCATCAAATTATAATCCCCTCTCATTACTGCATAAGCATTTCTGGGTGAGGTAGCCAGTTCCAACCCTTCTCACCCATGTCAAAAATCTACGTACTGGATCGGACATTTCTGTGATTCCTAGTTTTCATTTGTGCTTTCCTTTCCTATTTCTCCAGCAGGTCATCATCTCAGTGTTGCTTCACATTTCCCCACAACTTTTTGTTCATTCACATGCGTTTTGTATTGGCCTCCATGGAAGTGTTCTGTGTGTTAGTGTACCTATGTAAGCACAGACACCTACTTATTTATGCAAGTGGACAGCTATATCACCTTGGCCCCTCTTTGCACCTCACAGACAGCTCAATAGCAGGACTGTCACTCTGCAATCCAGTATTCCCTGTGGCAGAGAATGACTTTTTAACAGGCACTTAGGGCATAACTGCTGTGTTTGTGCATGAGCCAGCTGAATGGCTGATTCTTTCTGGGTGTTTTCACCATTAAACCATTCTGTTTTTCACAATCAACACAAATCCAGTTCACTCAAAGCCTAAAAAGGTAAAACTGCCATTTAACATAGTGAAGTAATGGTTTCTTACAAAATACAATGATTTAGGCACAAGATTCTAGGAACAAATAAGAAAAAAAAAACTTAGGCACCCATTTTTTCACTTTGATAAGTGTTGTCTTAAATTTGGAGGTGCTTGCAACTCAAAGTTTTCAAAGCTTATCTTGCATTTTGATAAGAAGAAGCAATACTTAAACATAGTAAACAAGGCTACTTTTCTCATATACTGATAGAGCTTTTCCAATCCTCCCATTTTGCAGAGGAGCCAGTGATGTGGGAGTCCTTAGGTTGGACTTTTTGTAGTGCTGAGCAGCTGATGCTTCATGGCAGAGCAAGCCTTTTTAAAATTAGCCATCCTGCTTTTAATTTTGGGCTTTTGACCTCTCCCCTACGGCAAACCTGCAAATGCACACACAGGGGTGTGCACCTGTAGGAGGCAAACCCAGTTTCATAACTCTTCCATTTCCAAGCAAGCTTCCCAAATTACCATGTGACACACTCCTACTGCAGGCAAGGCAAACTCAAAAGTGTTCAGTCAATTCTTAGGATGTCTAGGTCTGCATATTGCACTATACTCTCATGTGCTTTTTTTCCTCCAGTAACTGCAAAACTGAGGAACTAAAGAGAACATGGAGGAAATTACCTCCAATCCCATTTTCTTACTCCAGCATCAATTTGTAACATGAAACATCAAGAAAATAACACTTGAAATTCAGTATCTATAATATACATTCTCAACATTTTCTAAAATGTGCCCTGGTTTTAATTGAAATGTGAATTGTATAGGCAGAAGGACTTGTTCCTCTGCCAGGAGTAAATCTCCAACCACGGACATCAAATGCCCATAGAAAAAATACTTTTGTTTTTTCATACATTGAAACTTCCCAAACTCTATTACATTTGGAAATATAATATAATAGCAGAGGGCAACATTATGTCTGACATATATAATTGGTTTACAAAAAAAATACAACCAGGGGACACATTTTTGATAGAACCACTTTTTTTCAAGCAATAGTTGCAGGATAATGGAGCGCATTGATCCTTTTTGCTAAATGGTATGACAAAGAAAATGAGCATTTGTGTAAAAATGCCATAACAGTTGAAGCTTGAATTAGGGAGTCTGTAACCTTTGCTTGTGCTCGTAAATTACCCTGCAGATGAGGATGTGACATTAGAAAAAAAGAGAAAGGCATCCAAAGCCAAGAGATGCAACCCATCAAATACTGAAATGCTTAATGTATATGTGTACCCAATGTTAGTCACTTCAGATCCTATAGTACAAATTGCCTCCAGCAGTTTCTAAAGTTATATCACAGGTTAAATGGACACCCACAGATAGAGATTAGTCATTTAAAAGACAAAGGTATAAAAACTGATCTCAACTGCTAAAGCTGTCTTAAAGTCAGTTTTTCATGCATTTTGAAGCTGTGCCTTCCCCCCCCCCCCCCCCCCNCGTTTCTGGGTGAGAGGTTAATAATAGGGCCAAACACTGAATCTGGCATCAAATTAAGGCTTTATTCCTAGTAAATACCTTAGAGGAAGTTGGGGCAAAAAGGTATTACTCTTTCAGATCAAATAAATTCAGCTGTCGCTTTTAACAGCTGTACATCAGTAAGTCATTAAAGATATCTGAATTTTAATTACTTGTGCTCTCTCAAACACTGGAACAGTGGTATGGCACCCTCAGATGTGGAATGAGCACAAAATGGCATGAGCACCTGAGAGATGTCCTGTAACCCCAGCTCAAGAGGAATCTCGGTGTTGGAGTCAGATTCTGCATGCAGTGGTGCCTCCTGCCTGACTGAATTCTGTCAGCCCTTTCATTTGCTGCCTAGATGAAAAAAACAGGCAATTTGGAACTCTCAGGGAAGGAAGGAGGAGGAAGCATGCAGGGAAACTTGCTTATTTGCAGGTTACACTGAGGGCAGTGAGAGCTGTAGAGTCTAAAACTTCTGGGAATAACAATAACAATAAAACTTCAAAACAACAAAGGTTTGATTAATCTCCTCTTAAAAAAAGCAGACTTTTAAGTAAGTCAGAAATCCTAATTTAGATATTTTATTAACTTTTCACAATGGCTTGGAGCTGATTTCCTTTTTCTCTCCTTTAACATTCCAGGTGCTTCAGTCTCCACAATCAAAAAGAAGAAACTTCCAGCCATTTATGACAGGCTTGGTGGAAATCTGAACTTTGCAGAAATTCCACCAAAGAGAGAAGGTATGAATGGTAACTAGGAAGAGGCTGGGGTACCAAGAGCAGTTTACTTACAGTACCTTAAAGCAACTTGCACCTTTCCAAGTGTTCAGAAATTAATAATCCTTGGAGTAACTAATGCTCTGAGAAGTACTGCTGACCAATCTCTTAACCCCTTTAAGTCCTATGTGTAGAAGAAAAGAAATGCCTCCTAATTCCATATTCCTGTTTCATGCAACACTGCAAGAAGTGAAGCGTGCAGCGCCAGCACACAGCAGTTTGTATGATCATAAACAAAAATATTTTTTTCAGCCCCTAAGCAAAGTACTTGTCTCTTGGGTCAACAGATCTTAGAATTTAGCAGACCAAATTAACCAGCAAATGCATGTTTTACCCCATTTTCAACATTAACAAGATAAATGATGGATGAACACAAGTTTTTTGAAGGTTAATTTAAATACAGATGTAATCATAACAGGCAGCAGTTCAGAGCAGAAGCTGTGCCAAGCGCACGTGAGGTCCTGCCTCTCTTCTCTGACTACTGAGACTCATTTCCAAGGCAAGGTCCCTAAAATTCGTGCCCAACAACAAATATTGTAAATCCCTCCTCCTTTTTTGTTTTCCTTGCACTGTTTGTAGTCCTCTGTGGCTCAAAACCTCAACTCACAAGTCCTGCACTTGGACAGTATCAGGTGTGTGCCTGTGCAGGTGAATATGCTCATGCATCTATGGGTAGGTAGATCAATACATGATTGACTTCTCAGAAAGGAATGAAAAAAATCAATGAAGAGCAACAGAGCTCAGAGCCCTGAGCTAAGTTTTTCCCAAGTCAGACTTAGAAGTTTAGCCCATATTTTACAGCAAAGTTCAGGTCAGTAATTTTTAGCAACTATGCAACTGATGTTCTCATTTTCTCTTGTTTGATGAGAATAAGACAGTCTTTTCTCCACGTATACATTGATTTTTTTTTTAAACTAACCTCTCAGTCTTATTTTCCTCAGGTAAATATCTGCTGGATTAATAGTCCAAAAAGAAGAATAACTTATAGTAGCAAGCGTAAGTATCTGTGGAATTATAATACCCAACAAAGACATTTAATTTCCTAAAGTTGGTTTTCATAATGTGCAGAAAGCCCGGGGTTGCCCAGTCTCATAAAGCATCCAACCAGTACAGGGACTGTAGAAAATGAATATCCTCTCAAACAAAAGCCCTCTGGATTATAAAGCTGTACAAATTGTGTGACCTGTACAAACGAGAGCATGCTTCTATCTCTGAAAAGGCAACAAAATAATTATAGGGCTAAGAAACACTACTTGATTAGGTTTAGATGATCTCTTGGCAGAATCCACAAGTTGAATTAGGATGAAAACAGAAGACAGTTCACTTGTTAATATCATAAACTAAAGACATTCAAAGCCTGCTTGGAATCTCAGTTGTGAATGCCAGCATACAAAATCTATCATCCTACAGGACTGCATGTGTGTAGCAATACACTCATCTTTGCTGTATTATTGGCAAAAATTAAAGGAAAAGCAAACTCAAGAGGATGCTGCCACAGGAAATCTCATCTATGTTCAGGTTGGTAGTGCAAATAAACATATTCACAAGGCTGGTATGAGCTAGGAACATTTTCATTCCTCAGTCCAACTTTATGAAGGAGAAACGAAGTCCTCCTCTGTTCCAAACCCCAATATTTCAAGTTCTCCGGCAGCACAAGATCAGATAATTAACAAAAACCAAAGGATGACGAAACGAAGCCAGATAAATAACAAATATCTACATATATAAGCACACAGCAAGCAAGATAATGAAAAGTTAGCTAAATTTACCGTTTTAATTATCCAAGTGGGCGGTTTGTTTGGGTTTGGTGTTTTTTTTTTGGTTTTGTTTTTTTTTTTTTTTTTTTTAAGGGGAAAACGTCGGGAGCTGTTTTCACGACGATTCGTCCATACGCATCCGCACCGCAGCAGGCGCCGGTCCCGGAGCGCGGAGAGCGAAGCGTTTCCCTCCGCAGCCGGCGCTGCCCCCGCCAAAAATGAAACGAGAGAAGGCGGGGAGGGGCGGGGAAGCGGCAGCCGGCGGGGAAAGCTCCGGCGCCGCCCCGAGCGCTCCGTGCCCGGCGCTGCGGCCGCGGCGGCTCCGCGCTGCCCGCGCCCTCCGCGCTGCCCGCAACTCGCGGGAGCCGCGGGGCGGGCGGTGCCGGAGCTCAGCCGGCGTGATGCCCGGTGTGATGCCCAGCGCGGTGCCCGGCGTGATGCCCGGTGTGATGCCCGGCGCGGTGCCCGGCGTGATGCCCGGCGCGGTGCCAGGTGTGATACCCAGCGCGGTGCCCAGCGTGATGCCCGGCGTGATGCCCGGCGCGGTGCCCGGCGTGATGCCCGGCGCGGTGCCCGGTGTGATGCCCGGCGCGGTGCCCGGCGCGGTGCCCGGCGTGATGCCCGGTGCGGTGCCAGGTGTGATACCCGGTGTGATGCCCGGTGTGATGCCCAGCGTGGTGCCCGGCGCGGAGCCCGGCGCGCTCCGCCCGCGGCTCCCGGGATGCGCCCACCTGCAGCCCCGTTGCGATGCTGACCGCGGACCCTGCGCTTGTGCCGCCTCCGCGGCTCCAGGGCTGGGAGGGGCCACACGAGGCCTCTGGAGTGGTGGTCGGGGGGGGCTGGTGTATGCTAAATTAGGTGGAAAGGTTGCTGCCGGGAGCAGGGGTGAAGGGGGAGGTCTGTTCCAAGCACCCGACTTGTGTGGGATTTGGGATCTTCGCAAGTGCGTGCTCGTGGGTGAGGCTGCTCATCTGCTCGGAGATGCTACGACCGGGCTGTGAGGAAGGGGTGCCAAGGTGCGCGTAAAGCCGTGCAGAGGTGGACAAGCATGTGCTCAGCTCTTCTGCAGAGAAACAGCGCAGCTGTCAGAGTTGTATATTTGGAGCAGCAGAACCCGAAGTGGGTGATAGCTTGCCGAGGAGCTCAGACGCGCCTTGGAGTTGTGACCTGCTGTCCCTGGGCTGAGCCGCAGCTCTTCAGCTCCCACCAGCGCTCGCACACGCCCTCGGAGCCTTCTCTCCCCCTCTCCTCGGCACTCAGCGCTGGGACTCTACACTCGAAACCTCTCCGCGGTTGTTTCCAGCCCAGCATCGGAGAGGGCCGAGTGCCACACACACAGCCTGTTTGCAGACAGTGCTTTGAGCTCCTCTTTGCGTGCTGTTCGCAGCTCCCTTCCATGGTGCACATTTTGCCTTGGTGCCAAGTAATCCAGAGTGCCGCTCAGTGCGCTTTCCTTTAGCTCAGGATGTTTATTGTTTGCTTGGACCTCTATTTATATGAATTTTTGTTTCTAAAGCGAACTCAAATTGTGTTTCACTGAAACCAGCCCCTACATCCAAATGCAAATATTTATTCCACAAAAGCTTAAAAGAGTTGAAAGTACTAGAAGGTAATTTCTTCTGTTGTTTATTAAGAGAAGCAAAGCCTTTGAAGACGGAAGTTCTAAAAACTACCTGCATCACACAGCCATATTATAACTTCATCAGTCTAATTAGATACAGTTTCCCCATGAATTTTGGTGCGTGCCAGGTGCTGGACTTGCAGGTTAGAACCTGTCTTCTGCAGGCTTTTTAAGTCCTAGCTTTATATGAGCTGAACACTCTTTTTCCTTTTGTAGGTTTTGGCACTAGTGAATGCAGTTTTCTCTCTTAGCTACATGCATCACTGGCTACTGTTTGAATTAATGTATTATACCACAAGTGACCTTAGAAATGACAGAAATAATAGCAAAACATTCCTGCTCTGTCCATTGCTCCTGACCAGTGAGAGTCAACTGTTTATGATTAATCTCTGCACTGTAGTCTGCATCTGGTGTCAGATTGATGCCATTACACTCAGTCCAGCCGGAATGTGAAAGTGCCTCTCTAGAACTGACAATTTAGTATATTATATTTTTCCTGTATCTGTAAACCTTTAAAATACATTTTTCCTAGGGAAAGCTGCCTGAGTGACATTGCTGTGGCAGAAACTCTCTGGTGATTCCCAAAACAGTATGCAAGGGCATCGGATGTCACAGTGAGAGCAAGTAGTCTCTCCATCTCCTTCAAATATCTCATTAGGACCTCTTGATTCCTGTGGTGTTTGCTAAAAGTTTGCTTGTTGTTATTTTGTGTGCTGTTTTGGTTTCAAACTGTGTCTCATCCTCAGATTGTGCCCTGCTCAGTGTAGTGACATCTTGTTCAGCTGCTGTGCCTCACAGAAATAGATTTGATGGTAGGCTTTTCTGTTTTGATCATATCAGGTAGCAATTTAAAGCTTATTTGACTGAGCCAATTTTTTTTGTCATTGTCTTTTACACAGGAATGGTCATGCTGGGGCAGGCAGAAATTCTTTCTGAGTCTATTGTTTTCTCCCTGAGGAGGGTTGGCAGTGGGAACTTGGGAAAAGATTACGAGACCTGGACAAATACAGGCAGATCCTTGTCCTGAAACACCCTCTCACATGGCTGAAGCTTAGGCAATGCAGGTTTGAAACACTGCCTGTGCCTTTTTATCTAACCACCTTGAGGGATCTTTTTTCAAAGAGTGTCTACAGGTGGTTTTTGAACATATTTCAGCTTTTGGTATCCACTCCTGCAAGGCACTCTACTGCACATGTAGCCATGGGACTTATGGAAAAATATTTCTTGATTATTTTTAACTTCTTTCAATAAAATGTGTCAAACTGAAAATCAAGAAGTGGTGGGAAAGTTTTGCTGAGCTTAAGTGATATTTGTGTTAGTTTATATAAAATTATTTAATCCCCTGCATGAAATTAAAAAGAAAAAAATGCAGAAATGGGTAATTAAACTGGAAACATCTGCATTCAGGTTTTATTTGGGTTAGAATGCCCACACAGCCTTAAATCTCAATTTTTTGAGACAGTCTTTTTGCCCTGAGTGTCCATGCCACCTTCTGCATTAAAGTCTTGATCCTGGACTCAGGCTCTAAGACACGATGACACTAAAATGGTATCAGTGGATTGTTTGAATGGTAAATAAAAAGAAAATTTAAAAAT